ATCTTCTACTGTCTGCGCTTTTAGCTACCCATCTGCTCACCCTGTTGCCAAATGTGTTTTTCTGAACACAAATCTTATCACGTAATGACCCACTCACTGTTGTACCCCCATTATGCAGCACTGTGCTGACACCCATTACCTATCACTAATCATTGCAGGCCTGATGAATAGCTGAATACATAAGTCACGGTGTTTTAGGCAAATTTCACCTTCATTTTCCTTACCCGAGGTGACTATTGGGATACATACTATTCAAGTGGATTGAGGAACATAGTATCCATGACCTAGATACACTTGAAAAGTGCCACAGACTAGCACGGCTACTTAATTCAGTAAGAATTTTATTTTCCAGTGCAATAGGTCTCTCTTAAAGAATTTAATAAAAAAACAGGAACCTTCCTCTGGTCTTGAAGTAATTTTCATTCTGCCAGGCCAATATGATACCTGGAGACCCAGCTAGAGATTTTTTTGAGAAAAGAGCATATCTGCTCACAGAATCAGTGCCAGCAGGCAAGGAGTGAAGTCTGTAATTGAAGATTACATTAAGATGAGCATCTCAAACTCCGTTAAACCCAAAAGGTATAGGCCTGTGTGCTGAGGGAGGGAGGACTGGAGAACATGATGTACTAGACTAGGGGATGAACTTGGCACCGGCCCTGAGGAACAATTTAATTTGAATGATGGGCAAGCAGGGAAACATAATGATAATACTTTCCAAAGTGTATATCATATGCACCAAATCCTCATTTTAATTCTATTCAATTTCTTCTTTAATTTCTTTTATGTGCCTTGTTTACATTGTGATAATAAAAGGAAAAAAAAAGACATTAACTCCTACGCATCAGATCAATTTCCTATAGCAATTAGTAAAATTTGATTTTTGTTCTACAAGCATGTAATTCTGCTAAGTTTCATTTCCTATCTCACTGAGTTTTCTGAGTGAGTTTGGGCATTTATGTGACTTCAGTATCCTGTTTCATTTACCTCTTTAAATCAAAGCATCTTTCATCTTGCCCAGTTCCCCCGTATTGTGTGGCTATATGTGGGGACCTGTATTTGGACTCCACTTGCATTTTCTTGAAGCCTACTGAGTTTCTGTTCCAATATTACATGATATCCTTGTACAGTTTGGTTTTTCTGAAAGTTTTCAATGGCTTTTTTTTTCTCTATAAAAATTTTCTTGAGCATTGTTCCATTGTCTTATGGCCAATCTTCTCAGCCTCCATGGCGCAAGTGGGTGCTTCCGCCTCACCCACAGGCTCTAGGATTGCCTCCCTGGAGTCTTCTCCTGGAACAGTTGTTAGTTGTTCATCTTGTGAGGGGAGTGAAGTCAGGAGTGACCTATGACACCATCTTGGTCATGTCACTCCTTCCATTCTACATTTTAAAAATTCTTCTTACTCTGATTAATCCTGCCCTTCTCCCCTCTCCCCATCCTTCTTTCCATCATCTTCACTGAATCTAAACTCTGCACTCCCTAAAATGGCTTCATGGCACCTATTCTCGGCTTCTTTTTGCTGCTGTCTCAGGTTAAAATCACTGCTTTCTGGAAGTCATATCTTCCTTTCAGTTTCTACTTTCATTTTTGCTGGTATAGATTCTTAAGTAACTTCCTAAGAGTGGGTATGTGGGTTATAAGCTTCATTCGTTTTTATCTGTCCTGACAGTTTGGCTGCATATAAAATTGTGGATTGGAAATTGATTTTTCCCTCATAACTTTGAAATCCTTTCTCTTGTTTTTTGGCATCGAGTGTTCCTAATATGTCTGAAGACATTCTGGCCTTTATGCCTTTGTGAACAGGTTATTTTTTTCTCTGTAAGCTTGTAGGTCATTTGTTTAGTCATTAGTGTTCTGAAATTTCTATTTCTTTAATTTTATTGTGATTAGAACACTTAGCTTGAGACCTACCTTATTTATAAAACTTTAAGTATATAATACATTATTGTTGACTACAGTTACAGTGTTTGGCAGCAGATCTCTAGGGCTGATTTATCCTGTTTAACTGAAACTTTATGACTGTTGATTAGTCACGCTTCATTTCCCAGCCCTGACAATCACTATTTTACTTTTCGATTCTATGAATTTGAATATTTTAGATATCTCCTGTAAGTGGAATCATGCAGTCTTTGTCTTTTTCTGACTGTTTTTTTTCACTTAGCATAATGTCTTAATGTCTTATTTATGTTATTGCACATTGCAGACTTTTTCCTTTTTAAAGGCTGAGTAGTATTCCATTGTATGTATGTAACACGTTTTCTGTAACCATTTATCTGTAAGCAGACATTTAGATTGTTTCTAGATCTTGGCTATTGTGAATAATGCTGCAATGAACATACAAGTATTAATCTCTCTTCGAAATCCTGATTTTCATCCTTTTGGATAAATACCAAAAGTGGCATTGCTGGATCATGTGATAGTTTTATTTTTAGTTTTTTGAGGAACTGCCACACTGTTTTCCATAGAGGGCTGCACCATTTTGCATTTCCATCAGTAAGGTGCAAGCGTTCCAAATTCTCCATGTCCTCACCTACACCTTTTGTCTTCTATTTTGTTTTCTTTATAACAGTCATTCTGACTGGTATGAAGTGACATACCATGATGGTTTTAATTTGCGTTACCTTGGTGATAGTGACTTTGAACAATTTTCTCACTTACCCATTGGCCATTGGTATGTCTCCTTTAGAGAAATATCAATTTAAATTTTTAGCCCTCTTTAAAATCAGGTTATTAGGACTCTTTATTGAATTGTAAAAGTTCTTTATGTAGTTTTGTTGATTTTTTTTCTATAGTTTTCTATTTTATTTACTGCTACTCTAACCTGTGTTATTTCTTTTCTTCTGCTAACTTTGGCTTTAGCTTTTTTTTTTCTATCTACTTTAGATGTAAATTTAGGTAATTTATTTTAGATATTTTTTTAGTGTTTGTTTGTTTCAGATGTACAAAGTAACATAATAGTTAGACATTTACACCCCTCACAAAGTGATAACTCTCCTCCCCCAATCTACTACCACTCTGATACCTTATATAACTGTTACAATACCCTTGACTATCTTCCTTATTCTACACTCTACTTTCTGTGACATACATACATATATAGTTATAATAGTTGACATACAATTTTATTCTACTTCAGCTTCAGTTGCACAGCACATTGATCATGCATCTGCCCAGTTTATGAAGTGATCCCCTTGATAAGTCCAGATCTTTTTTCTTTTTTAATGTAGGCATTTATTGCTATGAAATTTCTCTTAATATTGCTTTTGCTGCATCCCATAAGTTTTGGTATGTTGTGTTCTCATTTTCTTTGGTTTCAAAGAATTTCCTTTTTTGATTTTGTCTCTAAGTCAAAGGTTGTTCAAGTGGGTGTTATTTAATTTTCAAATATTTGTGATTTTTTTCAGTTTTCCTCCTGCTATTAATTTCTACTTTTAATCCATTGTGTTAAGAGAAAATACTTGATATTATTTCAATCTTCTTAAATTTGTTAAGACTTATTTTGTGATCTAGCATGTTATCTATCCTGGAGTAAGATCTGATCATATGGATTTCTCATAAAGGGAATTTGCCCATGAGTTGTTGCTGAATTGTTGTGTTTATAGGAAGAAAAATATGTCAGGGTTTTCTACTCTACCATGTTGCTGACAACACTCTTGAAATTTCTTAAGACATATATAATTTTTGGACCTTTAAAAAAAGCTATCTTGCTTGTCATTTGGCAGGCCTTTTCCTTTTATTGAATTCAAGTTTATTCAAGAGGAATTTACAAACAATTTGAGCCTTTTAAAGTACATTTTGGTAAGTTTTCATAAACATATACCATTATAAATTCACCACCATATCAAGATGTAGAGTATTTCTAACACTTCCTGTCTCCTCTGAATCCCTAGCAGCTCATGTCTAGTCCCTGGCAAATGCTGGTCTTATTTTGGTCTCTAGCACTTTGCCTTTTTCAGAATGTCATAAAAATGGAATCAAACAGTGTGTGGGGTTTTTGAGTCTCACTTCTCTAACTTCGCATAATACTTTTCAGATTTATCCATGGTGTTGAACATATCAGTAATTCGTTTATTTTGGTTGCCATAATATTCTATTTTTGGATGTACCACAATTTGTTTATCTAATCTGCAGTTGATGAATTGATGGTCATTTGGGTTGCTTTTTGACATCAAGTATATAAAGCTGCTATGAACATTTATTTACAGGTTTTTGTGTGGTCATAGTTTTTTACTGAGGTAAATAAGTAGGAGTAACATTCTTGGGTCATATGGAAATTGCGTGTTAAACTTTATATGATGTTGCCAACTTGTTTTTCAAAGTGGATGTGTCTTTTTTTTTTCCCCCCACTAGCAGTGTGTGAGAGTGCCAGTTGTTCTGCATCCTTGCCAGGACTCAGTATTTTTCACTTTTGTTTATTTATTTTCTAATGTGAGCCATTCTAGTGTATGTATAGCTGTATCTCATGATTTGGACCAATCCCTTTTGAGGATTTACATTTCCTTCAGTTCAGGAAAGTTTTCTTGTATTATTTCTTTGGCATTATCTCCCCTCTCTCATAACTGTTATTCCTTTCCAGGATTCCTTTAAGCCTGATGCTGGGCACAATGCCTTGTGTCTCATGTTTTCTCTTAAATTCTTCTCTCTCATTTTAGCCCTAGGTTCTGTGCCATTTCTTTGACTATATTTTCAACCCATGTATTTATTTTTTTCTTTAATTTTATCTGCCAAATGAATTTTTTAACTCCCAAGAACTCTTTCTTGTTTTTTTGTTTTTTTATGGAAACTAATTATTGGTTTTGGAAAGCAATGTGTCCTTAGATTTCTGTCAGAATAGTAACTAGAATCTGTTTCCTGGTTAGAACAACCTATTTCTTCTAGGGTCTTTATTTTCTAATATGGTAATTGCATGTTAAACTTGGTCTTTCCTCATCATAATTTCTTCATGTTTCAGGTGTTTCTGTGTTGTCTAGTCACCTTTAGGAATTAGGCAAAAGGAGGTTTTCTGGAAGTTCTGCATGCAACTGGATGGACAGGGCACGCAGATGGAAGGTCTGTTCTCAAGTTGTCTGCTTTCCCGCCCATCATGACATCCAAAGCAAGGGTAAACACTCTGGTTTGGTTTTCCTACTGCCTCGCTGTAGAAGGAACAAGGATGCCATTAATATTTATTAAGAATTAACTATGTGATTAAACACTTGACATTATAACAATAAAAAAGTTAATGGTTATATAGTGCTTAAAATTGGGCTGATCATTTTCTAAGAACTTTTAAAACGTTCGTTTCATTCCACAGCAGCCCTGTCAGGAATGCCTATTACTCTAGACCCAGTTTAAAGGTGAGACTGTTGAAGAGCAGAGCCGTTAGCTCAGGTGTCTGAGTTTGGAACAGCTGATAAGTGGCAAGTCTGCGTTTGAAACCCAGCAGCTTGGATCCAGTGCTTTTGCTCCTGAACTGCATGCTATGGACTGTCCGACACTGACTTCCTCCCCAAATCCTTCCAACACATCTGTGAGCAAGGTATTGTCAATGCCACTTTACAAAAGAGGATTTTGAGGCCTAGACAAGCTAAATGACAAATCTCATTTCCCAAAGCTCATGCGTAGAAACTGTCTGACCCCAAAACACGTAGAATATTGCATCGGATCTGTCCAAAGAATGATCATTTTAATCACTTACAAATAAAGATTTCTTGATAATTAAATCAATGTTTATTTGAAGCAGGGTAACATTTGAATTCAATATTTTGGCTTAAATGGTACAAACAAAAAACTCTGTTACTAATGATCTGTATGAGCTGTCAATTTTACTTTGGAACCAACAATTAAGATTCAAAATATCAATTATGTTGTTTCTCAGTAACACAACGGATCAATAACCTTCATTTTGTGTTCTCCTTAATTACTGCGTGGGGGCTTCTGCAGACACAGCCTGAACCAGACCTTGCATATTAATCTCTGCACATAGTTCCTGTTCCTCACAATGGAGCAATCAGACCTTGATTAATGCCAGCATTAAGCTAACTGCTATCTAATCAGTTGACAAAACGCTGGTTTTGACTCCAGTTTCCGTGGTTTGTTTGTTTCAGATGCTTCTGATTGGTGTTTGCTATGGGGAAGAATAGAGAAATAAGACATTCATTATTCATGGAAGTGAGTAGAAGAATTTTTGTGATATTCCCTCTGGCTTTGACAGAATGACAGAGCAGTAACTCAAGGTCTAAATGTAAACCACCCCTCTCCCCATCCTGCTATTTTTTTGAAGAATAGAGAATTTAAACCAATCATCCAATAAGTAAAATGTCCCTCTAGAATTTCATATCATGAAAAATGATACCACCAACCATCAAATTGCCCATGAAAAAAAACACCACCAAAAAAAAAAAAGAAGAGTGCTTATGCTTATGTTTTTTTCTCTTCCTTGTACATGAGATTCCTTCAGATCCTAAGTTCATTCTTTCTCCCCTAGTTAACAGCGGTGTTACTATCTTCATCTATTTCCCTGTCCTTATAGCCATCCATTCCTGCTTCCCTCTTACCACCACGTGCCACGTACCCTCACTGGATAGTGATTTTCTCAGCACATAGCTTCAGATCACTCGACTGACATTCACAAATTCTCTATCGGCTCTCTGTCATCTCCCCAGGGTTCAGTGAAGGTGTCTCAGGGGCCCCGGGGTGCTTGTGAGAGAAGCTCACCCAATTTCTGGTCACTTTTTAAACATTTAGAGTTGTTCTTGCTTACTTGCAGCTCACTGGACAACCTGTGTCTTCTCATGCCATCTCCTTGCCTGGGCACATTTGATCTCTTCTGCCCAGCATCGCCTGCCTCTGTGGGTTTGCCTGGAAACTTCTATTTCGTCTTAAAGTCTGAGCTCAGGAACTGCTTTCTGATGCCTTTCTGGTCCTCTGGAGCAGCACTGTCAAACAGAACATGTGCACGGAGTAAATGCTCTGTGACCTGCCCTGTCCAGTCTGGTAGACACTAGCCACATGAGACTGCCGAGCCCTTGAAGTGTGACTGGTACAATGGAGGAATTGAATTTTTAATTTTATTTATAAAACAATTTTAATTATTTAAATAACCATATATAAGTAGTGACTACTGCGTTGGAAGGGCATCTCTAGGTCGACCTGCTTTGAGACCTACTTCTGTTACAGCACTTATAAAAACTGCGTCATAATTCATTTACACGAGCATCCATGCTGCTGATTTACCAGCATCTGTGGGCCGGGACTGTGCGTTTCGCTGTACAAATCCTTGCCACTAGCACAGCGTCTAGCGTAGAGTAGGGGTTCTTTAAACGTGGAATGACTAGGTGAAAGGAAGCAGCAGAAAGCAGGACATGCAACATGTAAGGAGGAGATTGCGAGGGCTTTGCAAGGGGACATTCCTGATTGGAGCCCAGGGTCGTTCTCTTGGTTGGTGAGTGATCTATGGAAGCCGCCTCTGCTGAGTCTAACTTTCTCACCTGTTTAATGAGGACAATACATAATCCCCATCATTAGATTTGTTGGGAGAATTAAAGGAGCTATAGTACATGAATCATATATAAGTTAGTGAGTTAACATCAATCCTCCTTCAAGATCCCTCAATATGCATCTAACTACTTATAGATTTTGTTCTGAAGCATATTCCTACTACCTGAAATTCAAAATTCTAACGATAGAAAGGTTTGAAAAAGCCACACCAAGCAACAGCAGATTGCATTATATACAAATAGCCAAAAAAGACTGTTTAAAGGACTGCAGCTGGTGAGAGGCAGGCCCAAGCAAACACACGTGTGTTCCCAATTTCAATGAAACCGAATTCACCTCCACGTGGGTAAAAGTATTCGCAGAAGCATGCCAAGTGACAGGTGGTGAGCAGCACCAGCATGACTAATCGTGGAAGAAAAGAGAAAGGCAGAGGGCGAGAGGCTGGTGGCGGGCACACGGTGATTTATTATTCACTGGGAAAAATGCAGTGTCAAGAAGTATAGGGTCTTGGCTGACATCAGCTCTCTGAATCAATTGAAACAGTTTTATTCGGGTGAGCTGCAGCCAGAAACAATTGTCCACCTTTGTCATCACTTTGTATGCCTAAGCACAAAACGAAGCGAAGGCTGCAATCAGCAGAAAGGGAGGAAGCCATCATCACCAAACAGCATTAGCGTCTTGGCTTATATGTGGAGAGGCAGCACCCCTGAAAATGCTGCAATGATTTACATAAACAAACACGCAAAATACATGCAGGAAAATAGACTCATTTCGGAACCCAAACCATTAAATCATCAAGGCTCACTTCAGGGGTCAACTGGTGAGCCTCGCTTTTCTACAGCCCAAACCAGATTTCTACTTGAAACTTAAGCAGAGTTAGGCTTAGAAAATCTGTTGCCATTAATCTAACCCAGGCGTTTTAATAGTAAAGCAACCTTGGTAACTTATAACTATCATTTCATTGGTGAGCTTGAAAGTTGATGGACTCAAGTGTAATATATGTAAAACTGCACTTTCATTTTTCTTTTTCGTTTTTTTTAATTAAAGTTTATTGGGGTGACAATAGTTAGTAAAGTTACAGAGGTTTCATTTTTCAAAGAGGTTTTCCTTTTTTTCCACTTTGTGACATTTCTTTTCCATTTTTTATATCTTTTCCTATGGATCAATATTCATCATGAAAGGACTGCAGGCCATTTCTTTATTGTTATTTTATGTCCTTATTTGCTATTTGACATGTTTTTCCCTTTGCATGCAACTAAAACAGAGTTTGAAAGCATCATAATCATTGCAACTAAAGTCAGTCCAGCCTAAACATTAATACAAATGTCAATTATCTTTATATCAGAAGCTCTGTTAGCAGCTGAGAGGCATATTCAGTGAAGTAGATGCTCTTTCCATGTGCTTTAGGCAGAATCTCTAGGTATGGCTACCAGGAGCCCTTGGAACCTGTAAATGTGAGCTACTAAACCCGTGACTGTATTATATGGCAAAGTTGACCCTAAAAAAGGGAAAATATCTTGGTGGGCCTGATCTAACCATGTGAATCCTTAAACACAAAGACCTTTCTCTGGCAGGTGGCAGAAGGAGACACAGGTAGAAGTCAGAGAGCTTCAAAGCATAAGAAGGAGTTGAGTCGATGTACTACTGTTGGCTTTGAAGGTGGAGGGAGCCACGTACGAAAGCATATGGGCAGCTTCTAAGAGCAGAGCATGGCCCTCAGCTGGCAGCCAGTAAGGAGACAGGGAACTGAGTCCTAGAACCATGAGGCACCCCAAGGCTTCTCCCCAAGGCCTCCAGTTAAGAACCGGGCTGGCAGACATCTTGATTTCAATCTTTGGAGACCCTCGGGAAAGGACCTAGCCATGCTCATCTGGACGGCTGACCTACAGAACGGTGAGACAATAACTAGGGGTTATTTGAAGCCACTAAGATTGTGGCGATTTGTTCCACGGCCATAGATCACTACGACAATATTCTTGCAGAGCACAGAGTTAGTTTAGCAGGACAGGGAACTACCTGAGTAATGATTACAATGCAGTGTGATATATGCTATTGAGGAAAGTCAACATGAGCTGCAATGGCCCAGAGTACAGTGGGCTCACTCTGTCTGGGGCATCTGGGTGGCATTTGACTTGAGACTGAAGCATGCGTGAGAGTTTGGCAGCCAAGGACAGAACAGGAGTGCTGTGCAGGCAGAGGGGGCAGCATCCTCAAATAGTCAGGGTCACAGATGGGTTCCTGGGAGACGGAGATTAGCATGCAGCAGTGTGTTTGTTTGTTGTTTGTTTTTTCCTCCAGAGTATCTTTTTTCTCCAGGAGTAGTTCTCCTCCTCCTCTGCCTCCTGTTCCTCCTCCTCTTCTTCTTCTTCTATTTTTTTTTTGTGTGTGTGTAAGAGTGTCTCCCGCTGAAGATTGTTGCTTCCTCTTTCTCCCTTTTCTGCCCTGAACGCTGGATTGTGGAGAGATGTGTGTCTTTTCCCCTGTCTCCTTGCTGGTCCATTTCACAATAAAGCTTTTTCTTTTCTCCAAAGCCGATGACATAGTATTGTCTGCTCTGCATTTCAGGCTGCAAGCTCTTCTCCGTAACAAGTTCACAGTGAGTCGGGGGCTGAATCCAGGGTGCAGAAGTCGAGAAGGTGAAGAGCAAAGGAGAGGACAGAAGGTGCCTTCTGGCTGCTAGACGCTGGGGCTGCTTTCTCCTTAGAGTTAGGACGGAGGCCTGCCCTTGAGCAGCTTACAGGTTGTCCAGGAAGCCAGATATTATCCAATAACTACACTAACAGTAGTTACTATTGTGCTAAGTCTTCAGAAGGAGAAACATATACTTTATGAAAGTATAGCATCAGGCAGGAGGTGTATGGGGCTATGATTTGGGGGCTACTTACTAAGGGAGGGATTTTAGGATGCGGATGACTTTGATGATTATGACACAGGCACACAGGATGGGGAGAAACAAACATTCAGGAGAGAGGGGAAACCTATAGGTTAAGATAGAGTGGAGGTGGGGGGGGGGCATTTGGAACCACGACTCCACCGTGTCCGATATCCCTGTGGGAAGGGAGACCATCTGAGTGGCTGCGACAGGCCTGACATTTGTCGCCGTGCAGCCCAGCAGAAACAGGGCCCTGCCTCTTGAACAGCATGCACAGCACGTGCTGTGCAGCCTGCAGGAGATGGCCTCGCAGTCTTGCTGTGCTGCTCCTGCCAGGGGCTGGCTTCCTGTGGAGTTTTCATGAAGGCAGAAACAGTGGGAAGCTCAGGCAATGGGGAAGCTGCAGATCTCCGGGTTGGGGGGCCATCTGGCAAAGATTTGGGATCAGAGAGGGCCCATCTTAAAGTGACAGCGTTCATTCACTCAACACATGTTTAACGACAGCCTGGAAGGGGATGCCGGGCTCACTGACTCAGGTGTCCCCTGAGAGAGAGGTGTTTGTTATCTGTGGTTGGTTGCATTATGCCCATTACTCAAAAGAGGATGTCTGGGTCCTAACCCCTGAACTCTGAAGGTGAAGTTATTCAGAAATGGGATCTCTGCAGATGAAGTTTAGTTAAAAATCTTGGGAAGAGCTCCTCCTTGATTTAGGTTGGGCTCTAAATCCAATGACTGGTGTCCTCAGGAGAGAATGGAGAAGGAGAGGTGAGACCCTGACACAGACCCAGAGGAGAGGGC